TTCTATGAGTTTCATATCTTGTGCCATATTTCTATGAATTTTTGAGTGAGTAGAATAATTGATTCTTCTTTTTCTTTTGTATCCGCCCCCCCCCCCCTCTCTTTTGGGTAGACCAATCGGATTTCAGCTCTTCGTCGACATATTGAGTTAAAAGAGGCCACTCAAGAAGGTATGGTCCTTGGATCTTTGTTAATTGTCTTGAAGGTTTGTGGATCAAGGGCTAAGGATTGTTAAATGAGTTTTCATTCGTGGAGAAGAAAAATGAGAATGCATGTGGTCTGATAAAACTCCGTTGCCATATTCAAGTACATCATAGATGATCTTTCTTTTTATCTCGACTAATTTCTGGAGGAGAGATTCATGGCTTGCTTACTGGGATTTGTTCGTCTCTGTAGAACTGAGAAGGAAAATTTCAAATACTCATCAGAGTAGCAAAAATGTGAGTGATGTCTGCTTGTCTATGTGCCTTAACATATTAATGCTCTCCGCTAAATAACCCGGGTAGCATCATGAATCTTGCAGGTGGCAGCTTCAAAAGGAGTTGAACTTGAAAGGGAAATACTTGAGGCTGAGAATTCATTTTTAACAGATAAAGTTGGGAGGTTGCAGGAGAAGGTGAACATTATCCTTGCCTTTTCATTAGTTTAATTCTGTGAACTATATGTAAGTTTAGATCAATTCTTTCCGTGTAAATAGGCAATGACACTTGAAAAAAGTATTGAATCGACAAAAAGGGAACTAGAGCATCCAACTGAAGTGGAAGTTGAGCTGAAGCGAAGGCTTAGTCAGTTGACTGATCATTTGATTCAGAAACAAGCCCAGGTTGGTTGTAGGAATTATAAAATATTTGAAATTCTGAATTGGATATAAAGGGTACGTTCATCCTTAAGAAACATCTCAAACATGATAATTATCAACATGTTTTTTTGCTCAATCAAGCAGGAGCAGTAGATGGAAGGATGCAAGATCTTTAATGTTGACCAAAGTTCTTTTAGATGCAAAAATAAACGGGAAATAGCTTAATGATACTTGCTGACTAATCCTTAATTGCTTACTTGGATGTTAGATGTCATTTAGTATCCTGGCCTTTGAATGACCGAATTTCTTAATTTTTGGCACACTTTACCAGGCGGAGGCACTCTCCTCTGAGAAGGCCATGCTGCTTTTCAAGATTGAGGTGAATTGTGATTCTGAATTAAGTTTGCTGCAAGACTTGAGTGTTTAGTTGTTGATATTTTGCTAATGGTGTTGTTTGTTTTATGCTCTAGGCTGTTTCAAAGTCGCTGAATGATAGGAAATCCATGGTTGACTCTTCTGATATCCCAAGCACCTCATCCAGGGGGGATTTAGAATCAGGAGTATGGGAGCTACCAAATTCGAAGTTAAGACCTCTGTTTCAGGAGAGACTTCGATCAGGCAAGCGACATCTGGGATCATTGGTTCAACAGTTGGATTCAATCTATTGCGCAGGTGCTGTATTTTTGGGAAGAAACTCCGCAGCAAGAATATCGTCTTTCATATACCTTGCATGCCTTCATCTTTGGGTCATTTATATCTTACTGTCACACTCCCCACCCTCAAATGAGGCCAGCTCCGGTGCCGTTGTTTCACTGGAGAATATGAATAAAACTGGAGGTGTCTGATTGGATTAGTTGTTTGCATTCCTTGATTGTCACCTTTGTGCAAGGCAATTTTTTAAATACTGAATACACGTGTATAGAAATGTAATCAATTATCCAAATATATTTCAGTCCATACTCCATTGGGAAAAGGTTAATGGTGGAGACTTCCTGTTCCAGCTAACTACAATCTCCGATATAGACTTTTTCATGTGCTTAGAAGGCCTAACAAGATAAATTTGTGCTGCATTTTCATATAGAAAAACAAAGTTTTCAAGGCGATGCCTTCGCATAAAGCCTTCTTTAATTAGTTAATAAAAAGTGAATTTCAATTGAAAAACATCACGCATCCATCTGAGTCAATCAGGCTACAGAAGTAGTACAAGTTCATCCATCCTGCCAAACACTTAATTTTGTTTGAAGAAATATGTGCCAACAAATTTGGCACACAAAAAATAACCAATAGGTAAAATAAATAAATAAATAAATAAACTCCCCTGAGCACTTAGGATGGCTTTTCTAATTTTGACGTTGATGCAAGTAGTTATAATAACTGCATTAAAGTATTGGGAAATCTTTGAGGAAAACAAATTTAGTTATGATTGAATTAAGTTTGGTGAATGAAGTGATCATCCAACTGTTTAACACCGTTTAACTTAATTCCCTAGTTACTAAAGAGACTAACTTGTTTGGATGGCCTTGAATATTCCCCAAACACAAATAACATACTTTATCATCTTTCTAAGATAATTCACATCTTCTAAAAAACGTAGTCCAAAAAACAACCTTTGCCATCAAGAAACACAACGCATCCAAAGACAAACCAATTTGAGCAAAACTAACGGCCACCAATCTAATCAATGAAACCTAAATTTGAAGCAAAACAACCATAATAATTAACTGCAATCCATGTCATCCCCATAGCACTTGGTAGGGTTACGTCTCCTGCGCCCAATTGGAATCCTCCATGCCACTATTCGGTGCCAAATTCAATGTCAATCTCACTTATCACATGATGGTAGAAAAAATTTAAATAAATAGCACATGATAAATTAAATAAACAGGACACTTGACATAAATATAGAAGTGACACTGAATTGCCACTGAAAAAGTGGCACTGAGGATTTTGTGTGGCCTGCGCCACCTCACTCCTAACTTCATATCCAAATGGATAAAACCTTCAACTTTCTTCTCTGATTCGGCTAGCGTAACGACTAACGAGTTCGTGCGTTCGCATGCCAAAATCTTTACGTTTGGTTGGCATCATAATTTGCGCCCTACCAATCACGGCAACACCAGAGGAAGTTCTAGGACCATGGTTGCTTCCGGGACACAAAACCTCAAAAAAGAAAGACTCAGCCTCTGGAAATTCATCGAACTCCATCTTCATAGCACAACCTCAGGAAGGCTCTGGCATTCCTCTTACTATTTCGGTACTGCATTGTTTCACTTCCATGCCTCGGCCATCATCAGTAACTGTAACCTTAGAAACTACAACTTAATAACAAGCTAGTTTGGTTGGCGGCACAAACGGATCAATTAGTTGACCAACATTGGCAGCTTTTCTTATGTAAAGATGGAGAACATCATAATATGTTTTATAGTCTCCTTCCCTGTGATAGTCTCCACAGCTTAATGATCTGTTACATGTTTTCCTGAAGTGGTCCATGAAAGAATTATATAGTATTGGAACAAGTTTTGAATTAGTACGATGATGTTCTCAATAAAGAAACTATAGGACCAAAAAGAATAGGTTGCCTTTTAGTCAAGGGAATTATTTAGAAACCATTAGTATTAAGGTGATAAAACTCTTCTGATTTTGGTTATGTATCGAACCCTGATTTTGGCAATGTTATGATTAGAAGTATAATTCCATACTTATTCTGTTGTTGGTGACGTTGGTACGGAGTGTACTGCTTTCGAATTGGATTCTATTAGTTCACTTCCAGTTGAATTCTATCGTTGGGGGTGACATGGTCTCGGGGGATGAATTACCTTCACAAGTGCACTCCAATAATAGTTCATCGTGATTTGAAATAGTGAAATTATCAGAAACCTCACTTTTTTCCTTTTTTTCCAAACGATAACAGCAGAAACCTCACTTGAAGTTTAAAAATTTCACAAACCTCCCCTGAGATTAAGATTTTGATAGCAAAATTAGTCCAATTAGAAAAGGTATCCTTAAAAAAGTATTTTAAGGAGAGAGATGAAACTTTGATTCCATAAATACCCTTTATGCATGTATATAAGTTGTATTAGTAAAAAAAATAAAAATAATTAAAAGTTAAAAAAATTAATACACACATTTCACCATTCAAAGAGTTCATATTTAATAAATTAGACAACACAAATAAGCAACAAAAGTACACTAATGATCACAAGATTTAGCAAAATAGACTAGTCATCTTTTTTAACATGATGTTTTCTATGATTCTTGTGATTTTGAATAGAAAATTATTTGTGTATAATTATAATTTCTTTAAGTTTTGTGCAATTGACCACAATTAAGATCGTTTTATCAATAAAAAAAAATCTAGCAATGGAGTATTATTACATTGTGAATTTTAAAGTTTCTTATATATTCCATCTCTACTTCAGCCGATCTTTTCTTTTTTCCCTTTTTTGTGATTATTTTTTTTTTTTTTTCATTACAGTGGGTATCTAGAGCCAAGGACTGGTTACCGTACGCCCCAACTAATCCCACTGCGTGACCGCGAGAGGCTGCCCAACATCATCGGTCAATGTTAACGACTGGGATTCGATCCTTGGTTGGTGGCTCTCACCCAACTGGGCTACAACCACCGAACCGAACCCAGACTGGGCCCTTTTTTGTGATTATTTAGATATTGTTAGTTTATTACTTCTACTGTTTACTTGATTCAATTCATCCATTACTGGCAAATTACAGGGCCCGCAGCGTATTGATCATATTAGGACGCCAGTTGTATCATTCTGCCTGAAACTGATGAATCCTGACGGACAAAAATTAAAACTGAATATCTTACTGCTTTTACAGCTTTCATCGAGTAGTTTTTAAGAACGCCCCGCGTGAATGGTCCAGCGGTAGCGCCTCTCACCGGTGACCCTTGAGGTCCCAACTTTGAGTCTCCGCTCTGCTGGATTCTTCCGCGCACTTATCGTGTTCGGGTCGGGTTAGGGCGCCGGATCCGGGCCCCAAGGAATTAGTCGGGTCGGATTGGGGCCCCGTAAAGATTGACCCGGACAACCCTGTGTCGAAAAAAAAAAAAAAAAAAAAGAGTAGTTTTTAAGCCTTCAATAGGGGCGGCCAGAGGCAGAGGGTACTACCACAACAATCTTCACATCAAGATAAGGTAGGGACCAATCTTCCCTCCTTTTGCTGCCGCAAGTACAAATATCCTTCCGCTAGCTCCTATGTTTGACTTTTAAAATTTTTTGTTGTGTGAGGAAATGGCAACCTTCTTTGGATCCCCACCATTTCCGTCTCACCCAATTTCAAGAACTAACCGCCTGTGTTCATCTCCACAAGCCCCACCTCCTCAGCAACCAACCCAACCTTCGCAACCCCAACCTACACCTTCTCAAAAGCTGAGTGCAACTTCTGCAGAGCCACCATCAGCAGCCACAGTGAAAGTGCAAGAGGAAAAGGCTAGTAAGCCTGCCATTCCTGCAAAAGTAGAATCAACTGATTGGATTGCATCCACCTTAACCAGGAGATTTGGCCTTGGTGCTGGGCTTGCATGGGTTGGTTTCCTGGCTGTTGGAGTCATTTCTGAACAAATCAAGACTCGTTTAGAAGTTTCTCAAGAAGCAGCTGACACAAGGTAAACTGTTATCTGGAAAGAATTATATCATTCCGTGAATTGTTCTCTAAATGGGGATGAAAAACTTGAGATGCAATGCAGATAAAGAATTCACCAATGCAGTACTACAAGAAGTTAGTTTCTTGGTAAAATGAAAAAGCAAAGCTATGTCAAGAAAGAACGAGGATCCTTGTCAATTATCAAGTAGTAGCGTGTGGCAAGGAGAGAGATAAAACTGGATTGCAATTGGCACTGATTTGGCCAAAGTGCACTTTGAGCATTCATTTTTATGGGACGATTAGTTTCTAACCAATGTTTAAAAGGCAGGGATGTTGGGAGAGACATTTTATGTCCCCTTACCAGGCGAAAGCCTCTAGAAAGGTAAGGAAGATAAAATAGTAAAATTATAGTTTAAAATAAAAAAAAAGACAATAATATAAAAACACCCCATACATCCAACCCCTAGGCATTCACCTCGTAGTGTGGGGCATGGGACAAATGCCCAACAATACTTGCGTCCCTGATCAAATGTCTCGGGGCATTGCCTCGCCTAGGAGCTCGCCCTAAACACGCCTTACAATGGTTCTAACCTTTCTTGGTTTCGTTCTCAATCCAAAAGTATTTGCCAATGTTTGTAACCCTTTTTGTTCTCACAGGGATGTTGAGAAGGAAGAGGAGGTAATTCTGCCTAATGGCATAAGGTACATTATTATGCTGAGTGCTGACATTGAAGCAATACTAGCAACTTCTTAAGTTTACTCCAGATGCCTTTCTTCTGAATACAGTTGTCTTACTTCAGGTACTATGATTTGAGAGTTGGCGGCGGTGCATCACCAAGACCTGGAGACCTAGTTGTGCTTGATGTTGAAGCAAAGCTACAAGACAGTGATGAAGTGTTGATTGATACCTTTGGTGGTGATAAGAAGCCTCTAGCACTTGTCATGGGATCAAGGCCTTATAGTAAAGGAATCTGTGATGGGGTGGAAAATGTTTTGAGGACCATGAAGGCAGGTGGCAAGAGGAGAGTAATCATACCTCCTAATCTGTGTTTTGGAGAGGAAGGAGCAGATCTAGGTTCAGGAGTGCAAATTCCTCCATCTGCTACCCTTGAGTATATCATTGAGATTGACAAAGTATCAATTGCACCAGCTTGATTTTTCACTCCACTTCTTTCCAATGCAATCATAAGCAATCATGAGCAACATACATTATTTTCTCTAAGTAGGCGAATAAATTATGAGCAGCAGCTACTAAAACATACATTTTCTCTAAGTTGGCAAATATTTGGATAGACGGTCTATGGTCCCATTTTCTCTAAGTTTCGGGTTTGTCCTGGCACCATGGCAATCGCATTTGTCTGTAAATTGTAATTGTTGCAAGTAAGGTTTACAATTTTGTTGTCTTGTGCTCCTTGCTTCAGAATTTTATATTTTGTAGATTGGTTGGTGTAAATTAACTAGGCGGCAATCAATGATACTGCTACTCTGAATGTTTGACTCTCTTCAATTTTCAGTAGCTCTTAATTATGACACACAAGACTTGCAATTGCTGCAAGTTTGTGGAGCTTGAGATCATTAGAGAAGATCAGCCATGGCCCAGGTGATCTGTTTTGTAGATTGCTACACTCGAGTCATGTTGGGTGGAAAACTTGAGCAATGCTATAGAAACTCCTACTTTCCTTTAGAATCTTGTGCATGTCATCAAGTCCTCGACGGTGTACTCTCTAGTTTGATAAATTGGCCTTGACTGCAAAGCTAAGAACGATATACTATGGGCTTGTTTGGAAGTGAAGTTTTTGGTCTAGTTTTTTAGCTACTAGTTTTTTAACAACTTTTGCTACAGAAATCCTAAAAAACTTATCAAAGTTTTTTACCTACACACTTCAAAATAATATACAAAAAACTTTCCCTTCAACTTTTCTTCTTCTTTTTCCTCCCTCACCCAACCGGCCACCACCTCCACCACCACTTCCGGAGCCGGTAACTATTCCGGCCAACTTTTGCTGGCCTTCCTCTTTTTTTTTTCTTCTCTCCCTCCCCTCCCCTTTTGACCGATATGTTGGTTCCAAAATCTCTTTTTTCTTTTTTTTTTCTTTCTCCCTCCCCCCTCCCCTCTTTCCCCGCCACCTTCCCCCTTTGTTCGCCGCCATCTCCTCCCCTCATCACCAGCGCACGCCGCCACCTCGCCGCACGTCTCTCTCCTCTCGCGCGTTTCTTGGTCTCCGCGGCCGGACACCGCTGCCCATGGCTGCACGACTCCAGCGACACCACAACCCTTCTCTCTCCCTCGCAACGCCGACGAAGCCACCACCACCTCGCGCGACTCCAACCCAACCGCCGCCTCTCGCTCGCGCCACGCCCCCTGGCTCCACCGTGCGCTGCCGTTCCTCCTTGGCCACGACCCAAAGCCCTCGCGCGTTCTCTCTCATCTTCACAACTCCCACCTCGCTGCCGTTCCTCTCAGCTCCCTCCACTACAGCGCAGGGGGGTGGGGGAGGGGGGTTGTGGGTAGAGGGAGAGGGACGGGGAGCTTTTGCAGGGGTGGCGAGGCAGAGGGGGTAACGGGGAAAGGGAGGAGAGGGGTGGCGGAGGTAACGGGGAAGGGGAAGGGGGAAGGAAGAAGAAGAAGAAAGAAAAGAAAAAGGAAACAAAGAAAAAGAAAGAGAAAGAGAAAGAGAAAAGGAAAGAAAAAAAGAAATAGAAAAAAAATTTCACCTTACAAAAACTTCTACAAAATTTTTCTACTTACAAAAACTTCTACAAAATTTTTTCAAAAACTTCTACAGTGAACTACAGTAAAGTTTTAGACAAAATTCCAAAAAACTCAGGTTCCAAACAGGCCCGAATGTTCCCCAAGATAATTGAGCTAAAATTCACTTGGAAAAAAAAAGCTAAAATTCACTTAACCTATCATGTATGTGTGTATATATACTAACAATTATTACCTTCCCTTACCTTTATATATTTTCTTTATTTAATCTTATTTACCTTCCCTTGTATTTATTTAATGTTTCTAATTAATCTTATATTTTTCAAAAATATAACACATGAAATTTATCCTTGCATTTATATACTTTCTCTATTTAATCTTACCTACCCTCTCTTTTATTTATTTATTTTTTCTAATTAATCTTACATTTAAAAAAAGAGTAAATCTTTCCTATACTGACAGTGTATACACTATCATCGTTAGATTCACGACATGTGTGTAAAAATTGAATTTCAAATTCAAATTTTGTACAGTTGTCATTTATCCAATGTTGATAGTGTATATACTGTCAGTGTAGGAAAGATTAATTCTTAAAAAAAATATAACATTTAAAATATATTTCAACGAGTGCCTATACACACATTCGTACTCCCTCCGTCCCACTTTGATAGTTCTGTTTCTTTTTTCACACAGTTTAAAAAAAATAGTTAATTTTGTTGGAAAAGTAAATTTAGATTGCTATTTTCCTAAAATACCCTCACATTAAATAGAGTACAACTTTATGGGAACTTGAATTGATGGTAAAAAAAGAATCAACTCTTATTAAATGGGGTAGGTTTATAGTAGAGGTGGCAAATCAACCCACTTAATTAAATTTACCCATACCCGCCCATGAATAGATGGGTATGGGTATCTTAAATTTTTGTATATGGGTATAAATGGGTCACCCAATAATACCCATTTATTAAATGGGTATTATTGGGTAACCCATCAAACCCAATTAACCCATTTAGAATTCTCTTCCCCCCTCCCCCCCCCCAAGTCTCTTCTTTTCCCCACCCATTTTTTTTTTTCAAATTTTTCATTTTGTCATGATGTTAACTACTTTTGTTTCATTATTATTATTATTATTTGTTGGTTTTATCTTATTATTTTATTTTCTCTTAGTTTGTTAACTTGCTCATTTTTCAGCATTACTAATTTATGATAAATTTTAGCCTATTTTCTTATCTTTCTAAAATGAAATTTTAAATTTATATATGAAAAAAATGTTAGAGGTTCAAAATTTTTGGATTAAGTTTTTATATTAATTTTTATAGTACTCAGTTCAAATTTTTATATTCTTATTATTCAATTATTAAATAATAGGTAATTTTGTAACATAGAGTATAAATGAAAAAAAATTGGTAATTAAGTTTATTGAACATTATAAATAAATATTTAAAACTAATGATGGGTACAAAGAGTGGTATAAATTGATAACTTAGTTTGCAAAAATAAATTTAAATGAGTTTACAAAAAGTTAAAATAAATGGGTTGTAAATGGGTAATTGGATTACCCAATTCATTTTTTGACTTACTCATTTATACCCATCTAATTAAATGGGTATAAATGAGTTGACTCACTTATACCCATTACCCATTTTATCCAACCCAAACCCGCCCAAGTCACCCATTTTGACACCTCTAGTTTATAGTAACAACAACTTACATTGAATAAGGGCATTTTAGGAATATTAAAATACAACTACATTTTTCAATTGGAAAGTGGACTACAATTTGGGACAGACGACAAAGGAAAACAGGACTATTAAAGTGGGACGGAAGGAGTATGAAAATAATGCCGTTTTCCTTTATCATAGCTACCAATTTAGCAGCGGTGAAATCGAGATCCGTGATGGCCAAAAACTCTTTTGCCAAACGGGACCTTAGATTACGCTTGATAATCCTGTTTTTGTCCATCCTAATTAAAAAGAGTTCTCGATTAGAGAAATTCTACCCACTTGTAAACAGCTACAAAAGGAACAAGCTGACCAAATGCAAGGTCGGTATTGAAACAGCAGGCCACGGACGACTTACATTCAAATTGATGAACTTACTCGAATTAACAAACAGAAAAACGATAAGGAGCCAATTGGATTGCATTCGCAGCAGCCTGTGCATTGTCCAAGGCTTCCAAAAAGCTGGTCTTTTGTTGCTTGCGGGAGAGCGGGCAAGTTTGCAACTGCTAGAAGGAACACAATCTTCGTATCATCATGGGAACCGTTATCGACTCCCATTTCTTGGCCTTCACTGCCATTGTTACCGTAGGCAAAAACCCTTTTGTTTTTTCCTTTCCTTTTACAGGTAGAACACAGTCACATAGTGGTGATGCATGTCTTAATGATTTTTGCAGGTGGGTTATCAGTTGTTCTTCTTCATAATCACATCCCTTTTGAGATTTGATAAGGTTACTGACTTTGCTGGTAAGATTCTATCCATTGCTATTCTCATCTTCCTTTTTTTTTTCCTTTCCTTTTTTGGGTGTTTTGTTATCTTTCGAATTCTGAAGTTTTTAGTGCACTTGATGCGTTCCTGGTTTTAGAAGTTATGTGTAAAGCTTAGAATCAACATTTTTTCCTTAGGTGATGATGGATATGGTATTTTTCAAAATTTAATCTTGAAATGGTAGTCGATTGCACTGAAGGGTTGTTTTATTATGCGGCTATGCTATCTGAAGTAAAACCTTGTACAATCTTGTTTTACTGAAAATATAGTGGCTTATGGTGTAAGACGTAGAAAGACATGACCTTTGCAATCTGATAGATACTTGTTATTGTCGTGTCCACAAAGCTAAATTTGGCTGTTTTGATTTCATTTTATGTAATTCTTAACAAGTTATAATTTTTACCCTTACTTTGCAGGAAGCTCAAATTTTGTTATACTTGCTGTATTGACTTTGGTTTTAAAGGGTTCATGGCATTTTCGTCAGGTAATACTGCTATTCTGTGGAATTTCCCTTTGTTGACAACTGTTCGTGAATGTGGTCTTTTTAACTACTGCAGAGCAGAAACTTATTTCCTTTATATTCTCCTCAATTTTTGTGAGGGGAATAATGCTTCTTTCTGTCTTAATTGAACAGAAAGTGAATGGCTGAATGCTTCCTTTCCTTAATTCAACACATTCTATTTTTGAATGTGTTGCAATCTACAAAGTAGCATTGATTTGTTCCTTTGCTGCCGTTTGTTTCTGTAATTTGATGATTTGTGTATTACCTAATGCCTGATCACAAAATGTGTATTTGTGAGTTGTATGGGAGGTGTTTCAGCTTCCCTGATCTGATATATTTGATATATATGCTTGGCAAAATATGATAGTTACTGTAGGTTCTACTTGTTCCTGTATTGACGTTTGATTATACCTGTCAGGTGATTTTGTCTCTGCTTGCAGTCTTATGGGGCCTTCGGCTGGCCCTGTTTCTACTAATGAGGTAAGATTGGGATAAATGTCTTTGCAATCTTCAGAAGATTTTTGGCACTGAATCCATATTGTAATCCTCTTGGTTTTAAAGATGGTCAATAAGCAATTCCTCATTTTTATTACAATTTGTCTTGTTTCATTCAGTTCAATGTACAACTTGAAACTAGCAATCTGCTGCAGTTGATCATTACTCTTCAACCTGATTCCACTTAGCCTCACAGTTCCTGTTTAGCCTGTCACTGTAGTGAGATCATCTTACCTCAAACCTCAAACCTCAAACCTGTTGGCATTTATGTTTCTTGTTTCTTCAGTGATCTTTTCATGATTTTATGTTGTTT